GATTACATGCTTGAAGTATGAAGGAAAAGGAGACAAATGGTAGTCCATTTGATTAAACTGGTGCCCCTACGCCCCATGGCATCCCGGGCTCACATTTGTATTTTAGATAAGGGTGGTCTTTTCAAGGATTTATTTTAAAAACTATATGTCTGAAGATCCAAGCATTTAAGGCTAAAGATGAATACTCAGATTGTGCATCTAAAAATCTATGCAAGCTATTTTTAGAGACGTGATTTTATAACTTCAGCAACATACTAATGAAATATTTTTGAAGCAAATTTTAAACTAAGGTCCTGTAGACTAACATGTTCTGAGTAAATATTACAGTAATGAACAACTATTTTGGGGTATGTCTACACTGGCAGAGTTACAGCGCCGCTTGGAGCAAAGAAGGGAAACTGGTGTTATGTGTTCACGCGGTGAGCTACCTGTGCAATAGCGTGTTCATAGTTGCAGCACTTGCAGCGGTATTTGGAGCGGCGCACTCTGGGCAGCTATCCCACAGAGCATCTTTTCCTCTTCTGCCACTAAGAGTTGTGAGAAGGCGGAGGGGGTCGCGGGGCATCCTGGGTCCTGTCCCAATGCCCCCGTGATGCATTGCTTCGCATCCCAGCAATCCCTGTGCTTCCGTCCACGTTTGGCGCCATCTTTCAACAGTTTCTATACTGCGCACTCTGCCTCTTCAGTCTCCAGGAATGGATCCCGAACTGCTGACCAATATGCTGCTTGCTCTGACTAAAACATCAGGAGTGGCAGTGGAGTTATTCCTTAAACTACAAAGACAAGAGGAGTGCAACATGGATCTCGCCACACGTACTAGCTATGACACAAAATTGCTTGTGGCATTCACGGAGGTGCTGACCACAGTGGAACGCCACTTTTGGGCTTGGGAAACAAGCACTGAGTGGTGGGATCATACCTTCATGCACATCTGAGATGACAAGCAGTGGCTGCAGAACTTCCGTTGAGGAAAGCCACATTCATAGGACTGTGTGATGAGCTCACCCCATCCCTGCGGCGCAAGGACACAAGAATGAGAGCTGCCCTGCCATTAGAGAAGCGCATGGTGATTGCACTGTGGAAGCTGGCTACTCCAGGCTGCTACCGATCAGTCACTAACCAGTTCGGAGTGGAAAAGTTGACCGTTGGACTCATATTGACGGGAAGTGTGCAGGGCCATTAATCGCATCCTGCTCTGAAAGACCGTGACATTGTGGATGGCTTTGCACAAATGGGATTCCCTAACTGCAGAGGGGTGATAGATGGTACACACATTCCAATTCTGGCACCAGCCCACTTAGTCACTGAGTACATTAATCACAAAGGGTATTTCTCAATGGTTCTCCAGGCGTTTGTGGATCACCGGGGGCGTTTCACAGACATTAATACAGGCTGGTCCGGAAAGGTGCGTGACGCACACATCTTTCAGAACACTGGCCTGTTCAGGAAGCTGCAAGCAGGGACTTTCTTCCTGGACCAGAAGATCACCGTAGGGGAAGTTGAAATGCCCATTGTGATTCTGGGCATTTCTGTTGCTTTGCAGGGCTCTGTTTGCTTCCAATGAATAGATTAAAGATGGCTTTCAAACAAACACAATTCTTTTATTAAAAAACAACAACCGGAGGAGAGAGTCAAATAAAAAAACACATCAGCAGTGAGGGGGATGAGGGAAGGGAAGGTTCCAGGAGGAGGTGGGGTCCTGGAACGGCTAAAGATTTGTGTATGTCCAGAGATCATATCCAACCTTCTTCTTTGGATTATAATGTAGCGGGTACTGTACTTCAGCAGGGCCAAACTGCAGAGGGATGGGTGTTGAGTGCACTGGGTAGTGGGAGTCCGCAGTGCTGGACTGTGAGGGAGGAGGAGTCGAATGCCGCAGGTATAGACTGGAGCCAGGAGGTTGATAAGAGTGTGTTGGCAGTGTCTGGAGGGCGCATGGGAAAGAGTTTTGCAACAGCAGCTGCAAGGGAGGGGGCCGCAGAGCTGCTCGGTTTGCAGAGCTAGTATCGCCTGGAGCGTGTCCAGTTGGTGCTCCATAACATTTAAGAGCTGCTTCATGGCTTCATTCAGGTGCGCCGCATTCTCCTTTTGGTCCCTCTTCTCGCTGTCCTGCCACTCCTTCAATTCCTGTTTTTCGGCCATGAAGTGCATCATAACATCACGCAGAAAGTCCTCCTTAGTTCTTCGTGGCTGCTTTCTAATTCTGCGCAGCCATTCAGACAGCGATAACAAAGAGGGAGGCTGGGCTCCCAAGGTCATCTCTGTGAAGCCAAAATGCAACATTTTACAGAAGCAGTATTGTTTGCAACACACACAACACTGATTCAGTGATTTAAAATGCAGCCAGTACTCACACACCTGTCACTAACTGGCTGACCCCAGGCAAGCACACATGAGCCACAAGACCCCCAAAATGCCACAGGGGCCGGGTAAATCAGTATTCCCAGACTCTATTGTATACTGGGCACTCTCTCTTGGGGAGAGCCAGCATTGTAGGTGGGGCCTGATAATCATTCCTGTCCCCACATTTTCCACAGGCTGTGCTCATTATGGAAGATATCTAATTGCTGAAGGTGAGCAGGGAATCAAGAGAGGGTCTTCTCCAAGGCTGCGGCTTCTGCCCTGGCCCTAATGCGGCTTGCCTGTGTGCAGCAATGAGCTCTCCCCCCCAGTGATGGCACAGTGGTGCGGGAAAGTTACCGTTAATGGGGCAAGAAACAAAGCAGGTCTGACAAAGAACCTGCGGCAGCAGATTGCCTAGTATTTCCATGAGAGTTTTGTGGAGATCTCTGAGGCAGACTCCTGTGAACTGAGGGAGTCAATCAGCAGCCTGTTCTGCTGCTCATGATGGTATGTTCATCATACAGACACAAGCCTGCTTTCTGCAGCCCTCCTGCCTCCAACAACTCACTTCAGCGATTCCCCAAATCAAATCCACTTACGAGTGGCCTCCTCTCCTGTTTGCGCTTCGCCAAGCTCTGACAGCTGTGACTGGCTAGCCTCCGGAGTAGAGAAGAGCTCCTGGCTGCACGCATCTCTGACCTCCAAGTCATCCTCTGCCTCTGGGTCCCCCTCCTCCTCTACATCCTAGTCCAAGATTTCCTCCTCCTGTCTCAGTCCACACTCGACTGGCACACAAGCCACTGAAGTATCCACTGTGGCCTTCACAGTGGAGGTGGGGTCGCCACCGAGTATCGCATCCAGATTTTTGTAGAACCGGCAGCTCATGAGCGCAGCACCGGAGCAGCGGTTTGCCTTCGCACCTTGTGGTCAGCGTTGCGCAGCTCCTTCACTTTGACCCTGGACTGCAGTGTGTCCTGGTCATGGCCCCTTTCTGTCATGCACCGTGAAATCTGTCCATAGGTATCATAATTCCTATGGCTGGAGAGCAGCTGGGACTGGACACCCTCCTCTCCCCAAATGCTCATGAGGTCCAGCAGCTCGACATTGCTCTAAGCCAGGGATTGCCTGGTGCATGGAAAAGGCATGGCCACCTGGAAAGATGCGCTGAGACCACTGCATGCATCACTGAGCAAACAGGAAGGGATCTTTCAAAATTCCAAAGGAATGTACGGCGTAGGATGACTGTTGGTCACCTCAGGGCAGGGCAGTAGAGTGCAAACAGATGACCAGAGAGGCAAAACAGGCATTGTGGGACACTTCCTGGAGGCCAGTCGCAGCACTGTAATTGACCAGGGTTTTCTACACTGGCACCGCAGCACTCGTCGGGGTGGGGTTTTTTACAGCCCTGGAACTGCACAGTTTCTGCGCACTAAGCGGCTTGGCAGTGTGTACACCTCGGGAGTTACAACACAGAAAGCTGCTTTACTGTGCAGAAACTTGCCAGTGTAGGCAGGGGCAGTAAATTCAGAAACTGACAGTATATACCTGGGGGTTGGCAAATGCCTGTTAAATGGCTTCATTACCACTTGAATGGCTCTTTTACAGTTTCAATGTTGTGCTAATAGGCCTGGCAGGCTGGAAGGCTTTTTCACTTTTAAGTACTAGATCCCCTCCAGAGGAAGACTCACCAGGCTGCAGCAGTCAGTTGTGGTGGGAGCCTGCAGGAAGGATCAGAACAGGGATAGGAAGAGATGGGAGGGAGGACACTAAGACCCAGGGGTGCCCCAAATTTTCAGGTGCCCTACACAGCCTTGTATGCCTAAGGACGGCCCTGACTTTTATGGACACAGTGTACCCAAAAACACTGGGAAAGTCATTATTTTAGAACCCGAACTGCACATGAAAAGTGGACAACAGACGATTGTTTTTCTTATGCCAAGTGGTGTATTTTGTTAATATAAAAAGATATTGTTAGCATCTTTTATCTAATATTCACCCAGGCTCTGTACTGTATTTAATAAAACTAATACAAATAATAAGATTGTATTTTTCATAAAATTACATCATTTTTCTTTGCTGACTATCTAATAATCTTGGTGGTTTTGTAAATAATGTTTTTAACAAAAGGCCAATTGAATGCAAATTAAGAATAATGCCACTGTGTGTTAAGAGACTGAATAGCCACCTATCACCAGGTAAATGTGAAACTGTTGGTAATATATTATTAACACAGGGTCAAATTTTGCTATCAGTAATATCACTGGGTTTACTCCAGTTTTACGCTGGTGTAATAAGGAGCAGAATTTAGACAATGCACGTTAATTAGTCAATTATGCTTAGCATTACAAGCACGAAACTTTTGCAAGGTTAACTAACTCTTCCTCGCACAAAAATCATTCTTGCTGATACACACTTTATTCTTGTGTCAAACTCTCCATGTGGAACATGGAACTGAAAGAAAAGTGCTGTTCAAAGAAGAGCCTGGTATCATTATCAGATAAGCAAATTAGTTGAATGTCACTTTAACAACTGTAATTTTGGCTGTTGTAGTATTTCTTCCATGCTCCATTGCTTTATTCTTTACTCTTAAGGTTCCTGTTGCTCCATACTGAATTTCTTAATGTCACTTTCTTTCTATCTTTTTTTTTTAAAAATAGAGTTTCTTTGAAGGACAGTCTGCACCCTGGGACTCAGCTAAGAAAGATGAAAACAGAATGAAGAATAGATATGGGAATATCATTGCATGTAAGTGTTGGCAGCATAATTGTAATACTTTGTTAACTTCCTTTTAGCTTCTGGGAGACAAGGTGGGTGAGGTAATATCTTTTATTGGACCAACTTCTGTTGGTGAGAGAGCCAAGCGTTCCAGCTACACAGAGCTCTTCCTCAGGCCTGGTAAAGGTACTTAGGGTGCCACAGCTAAATACAAGATCAAACAGATAGTTTAGCATTAGTAGTTAGCACATATTCTAAGGGACCATTCAAGGTGAAGTGGTTACTGGCTCCAGTGACAGGGAAGATAATAGTGTTGTCCACAGTGATAGGAAAGATCAAAAGCTCAACTTTTGACCATGTTGAGCTTGAGTTGACAGCTGGACATCCCTGAGGAGATGTCAGAAACACAAGCCACGATTTTGGTGTAGATGACAGGAGAAGGGTAGATCTTTGGGTCATCATTACAGAGATGTTAATTAAAGCCTCATTTGTGAATGAGATTACCAGTATGGAGGACGAAGAGGAGGGGCCAAGTACAGAGGCCTGTGGGAGCTGAGTGACAGTTGGGAAGAGGAGGATCCTCCTAATGAAACAATGAAATAATTATTAGAGATGTAAGAGGAGAAACAACAGAGGGTGGAGTTTCAAAATCCTCCTGTTCCTAACTGTCATAACATAAATAACACTTCTTTAAATTACACTATTATGCAGGACCTTAATGCTGACCTGATACTTCTCCATGGAAGAATAACACATATAGGTCCCTGGTGTATAGAAGACTAACAGACATGGCTGTTGATGTTGCTAAAGACAGAGTTTTATGTTACAGGGTGTAAAAGGGTACTCACTTCTTGAGTCCCTCCGAGAGGCAGGGTGCAGTACCACAGTCCTTTTTCACCCCTGGCACTTTCTGCAGGCTGACCTCGGTGGGTCTTCAGTGGCTTGGCTTATTGGCCAAGTCACAAAGTCGAAATGAACCTCTTCTGGCATATTAAAGAATCTAATAACTAAATAGTCTTTTTGCCCTCTGGTCTTCAGCCCTGGCTTTGGAACCTTTAAATTCATCCCTTTGTTTGGGATCCCCAACAGGATCTGTCCCCTTCTTGGGGTTTACACCATTTTACCTGTGGCTGGTTGGGAACCTGGGCCTACAAACTATTCTGGGTTCCAACTCTGGGACCCTGTACACAGCCACTCACTCCAATCCATCACTGCTGTTTCCCTGGGCTTCTTCCTACCAGGCCCTTCTGTCTATAGTCCTATATCAGAGCCAGTTTCCTCAGGTTCTTCTCTATCTCCATGCTAGAGAAGAGCACTCTTCTCTCCTCTGATCCCCACCAGGAACTGACCTGCTAATGCCCTGCAGCCTCTTTTATCTGAGCCTGCTGGGCTCTGATTGGCTGTTGCTAGCCCTTGGAGGACCAGGTCTTTCTAGCTTCCCAGATGGCTACGTCAGTGAAGCCACTCTAGGCAGGCCTTGAGAAACCACCTTTGCTGCTCTTTTCTTCCACCTCGCTCTTCCTGGGGCAGAGTTTAGTAGGACTGCAGGGCCTTCCATAGGGAGTCAAAAAAGCCAGCTACATCCCATCACACAGGGTAATTGAGACAAAGGTAGTTTGGGTATTGTCCTACTGGACGTGTTGGAGACCTATGGTACTTCTTTATAGATAGGGGAAGCCTGTTAGTGAAAATAATGAATGTGATGTTTAGAAGGATACATTAGCTGCATATTTCTTTGCTTACAATGTTTGTGTAGATGGATACCCTTAAAGAATCCTAAATGTTTTTTTAACAAAATTTTTCTTTGTGAGAGTATGTTGCATAGAAATATATGCAATTGGTATAATTATTTAGGTATAAAAATGCCCAGAGTACAAATAAGAACAGGTTCTTAATAACAGAGATATGGAGATCTGTATGCCTTCTGTTCCTTTATAAAATTTTATCTCCTGACGTGACAATAGATCCACATTTTTAGTCAGAGTTTTGCTGCATCAGGCACCTCTTTTAATGTGTTCTAAACAGCCTGTCATTTTGGGTTCCCAGCTGAAATAAGTAGAAGACTAGTAGCACTACAGATCTGGGGTAAAGAAGTGATGACTAGCAAAGGGAAAACAAGTAAAAGATACTTGATGCATGAAACAATTATAATTACAAGTAATACTGGAGACTCTCTAAGGGGGCAAATGTTACTTTAGATTGTTTGCATGTCAACTTACTTTTAATATGTCATCAATATTTAAGAAACAGAGATAGTTGGATGGAGATGAGTTGTTATCAATAAAACGTACTATCTATGTGGCAGTAAGAATTTAGAATAATACAAATTAAAATTACAACACATTATTTCTGTTGGGGGCAACATTTTTAAAAGAGCCTCTAAAATTGGGCCCACAAATTTGCTGTATGTTAATTAGTTTTATGCAAATGGTGTAGTTACTGATTGGAATTACCTGAATTGTACATGGGCTTTGTGTAAAGAAATGGGTACGTGGCAAAATTGGGGAGAATAATTTTAGAGGTCTACTTTTAAAATTGAATCCCTATGTTATTATCAAAATAGTGGCTTCTGCTTTTAAGGCATTTAAAAAAGCCACCTCTTTCTACATGGTATTTAAGAAGTTAAAAGTACTGTAGATGGCTTAGATGCCATATATTCTAGGTATATTTTTTGCAGTGAAACATATGTTGTTTTAGAATATGAGTTTAATGTAGGTTTTTCAGCGCTTTTATCCTCTCTGTTTAAATCCTCCAAGATGCCATCATTATGCTATTGTTTGTAGTCAGTATTGCTTTGTAAGGAAATTAAAGCAATAGCACCAAGCTGCCAACACAGAGGGAGCTTGTCAAAGTAGCAGTGTACATTACATTATCCAGGTGATGTAAATTTAATTAGATACAAGCCTGCCCCATTCACAATGAGAAGGTGGCTACAGCAACTTGTGAGCTGCTTCATCATTATGCTAAATGCTGACCACTATCTAATCACCTATACAAAATGTGTTTCTTCTTTATTAAGTATAAATGTCTTCTTTTATGTTGTTTCCACGTTAAGAACCAAAAAATGGCTTTGAAACTGTTAAATGAATCTTGTGCTTGGGAACATTGTTGTGTCTGTATTTACTGTACAGTGGTTACTTATGGGCGTAGGTGCCGTAATATTCATTTGTCCCTTAAGAAAGATTTCTGTTATCTATAATAATTCATTTTTAACTTACTGCGGCCTGATCAAATGAGAAAATAATATTGACCAAGATTTTCAGAAGTGACATGATTTTGGGTGCCCAACTTGAGATGTCTTTATTAGGGGCTGATTTTCAGACACAGCACTTTCTGAAAGTCAGGTATCCATTCATGTGTTTTAGAGGGAAAAAAGGGCACACAGAATCACTCATCACTTTTGAAAATACTGGCCACAGGCTGGTGTGTATGTGCATGTGCACATGCATAAGGAAGGGGCAGGATGAAATGCTCATGTTCATACTTAGAAAGAAAAATTAATTTCAGCATAAGAAATTTTGAAGATTGAAGTGGTTGGTGGTGTGATCAGTGCAAAAATAGGTTTGATATCAATAGAGGGTGACTGTAACACACTGACAATGAACTTGAAATGAGACTGTTTAAAAGCTTTGAGGAAAGTAGTTAACAGCAGACTGAAGGATAAAGGAAAAATGTAAAAACTCAGGTAGTCAGCCTCGAGGCTATTTAAGAACAATGTGTTATATGCACATATAGCTTGTGTATCTCTGAGTCAAAAAGCTATGTGATTAAGCGCACACAGAAAAAAGTGCCTGTTTTAGATTTGTTAAAAAAAAATCCTTTAAAAATAAGAAAATGGGCCTAAACCACACAAATACTGGCTGGGACTTTCAAAGAGATCAAGGAAGTTAGCCACCCAAATCCCATAGAAAGTGAATAAAAATTGTGTAATCATCTTTCTTCAGCTCCTGTAGTATTCCTAGCCACTGTCCATGGAGCATAGTACTACTAAGTAAAATGCAGATGTGAAGTAACAAGGGGAAAGAGATTATATGAAGATAACTAAAGATATGAAGCTAAATAAATTTTTTAAGTCTTTAAATCTGAAGCTGCATGTGTGACTGAAAGCTGGCCATCATGGAGAGAGTGGAGGAAAAGAAAGCAATGAAATAGCAGAGAAGTTGATGGACATTTAGCATTGGACTTTACCAGGCTTTATCACTTGGCCTGTAGGGAAAAACAAGGAAATTTATATTCTTAAAATATTTATTTATTTATGAGAAATCTAAGTGTGGCCTTCGCAGAGATTGAAATCATAGAGGAAAAGTCAGCAGGTAACTTGAAAAGCTTGAGCAAAGGAGGTCAGTCGAGTGGCAGGTTCTCTTGACGGTGTTTTAAAGGGAATAAACATGAAATCATGGAGATACGGAGGAGGATATTCAATACTAGTCCAATCCAACTCCCATTGAAGTCAATGGGAATCTCTCCATTGACTTCATTGGGAGCAGGATCAGGTCCAAAATCTATAAGCCTGCAAACGTGCCTGAAGATTGGAAAGTTGTTAATGTGGTATCTTTTTAAAGCAAGATCCTGGGAATTAAAGGCCTATGACCCTCACCTCAGTTCTGAAAAAACCAATTAATAGCTTAATTAAGTATACAATAGCACAGCACCTGGATAAATATAACTTGATAGGTCAAAGAAGCATGGTTTCTGAAAGAAAAAATCAAGCCTCTTCAGATTGTTAAATTCCTTTGAAAAAGTGAATAAATGAGCGGATAAGAATGACCTGATGAACATAACTGACCTGGATATTCCAAGATTTTTTGATAAGCTCCCCCCTTGGAAACTATTAATTAGAATAACAACATAAAAAGGACAAATGTGTAAAAACTAGCTAAGTAAGAATCAATTGTTGGGAACCTTGGGTTGGAATTTGGTTCAGATTTATTTAATATATTAGGACTAGAGAGCCTCTAGGGACAACCCGTAGCTCCAACACCCTAGGTGAAGCGCTGAGAAAGAACTGTGGCTGTGAGAATCACCGACCCTCTTCGCTCCAGGGGCGCAAGATGGGAAGGAACCAAGGGACTGCCTACTCCCTGCCATTCCCTGTCCATTCTCTTACCTTAGCTATCCCTTTCCCACCCACTTGCCCTGGCAGGAGGAGGTAATATGGGACATGAATCCCTGCTCTCCCCGATACTGAGAGCCATAACCCCAGTGAGTATTCCATTGTCCTGCAGGGTGATGAGCTTGGATCCTGCTCCTTTCAATAGCCACATATTATTTCATTATTTATTTCTTTATTTCTTAACTACAGTAGAGATCGCCCATACAGAAAGCATTAGGTGCCCTAACAATCACTTAAACTTACAACAACCTTATGATATTAATAGCACTATGTACTCAGATACAGCTAACACAATAACTTGGCCAGCAAGCAGCACTCATTAATAACCTTACAGGTAACACATTAACTCAGATCGCCAATAAATCCAAGCAACAGAAGAGCCCCTTTCAACCCATTTCCACACACCCCAGGATCATACCCTCAACTTTTCCTCAAAATATTGTTAAGCAAACAGCTCTTCCAGCCTGGCCAAAAAGTCATCAGGTTTGGGATATTTTGAACTAAGAGGAGGAGCAGGTTCCAAAGTTGCAGGGCCCTCACAGAGCACACCCTGCCAGCAGTTTGCTCTCTTTTGTAATGAGGGGGGAATCTAGCTCAATCACCTTGCCGACTGAGGAACAATGGAGACAGATGCATTGGACCAGTGCATAGCTGAACCCTCAGAGATTTGGGTGGGGAAATGGATGGTAAGTTGATGAAGTTTGCTGATGGCCCTGAAGTGGTTGGGCCAAATACAGAAGGCCTCAATGGAGTAAACTTCAATGGAAACACATTGTTTTGTATGATGAACAGCATTTGGACCAGTGTACATAGAATTTACAGCGGATTGTGATGTTGTTTAGATGGATTTAAATTCATTGGACAGTTGGATGGCAGAGGAAATTCAGTTTGGATAAATGCAAGATAATGCAAAATAGGATAAAAATAATTTGAACTTACATAAGTGACATAAACTAACAGACTCTGAATTTTTGGGGTTGACTTAGGAAAAAAAAGCCCAAGAACAGTTCAATGGAGATGTCTTCCAAATGTGCTGCAGATGGTTTAACGACAGATAGAATGATCGGGTGCATAATTAAAATCAAAATAAAACCATACAAAAAAGTGTAACGTAATATTGAACTATGGTCATGTCTTGTCCAATTTTGTCCCCTTGTTTTGTGAAAAATATCCCTGAGAGTTAGGTGAGAAGGTCCAGCGAAGAGTAGCAAAGAGAGTTAGAGAGGCGTGGCAGCACTTGCATATGGTGAGACTGCAAAAATTAGTATTAATTTGCCTAGAAAAGGCAAGAACTTTTAGAGACTCCATTGTGACTGTTGTAAATTATGAAAGGGCATACTGGAAAAAATCATCAGCTCTTTTAAAAAAAAAATGCTATCCCACAGTATAAGAACAAGGGAATACTTGTTTAAATGTGGTTCCGGTCTGGAAAGTAGCCATGTAAACATGGCATCTTTTTACTCAATATCTTTTAACTCCACCCTTTTAGTATATTCAGAGTCATATTTGCTTACTTTAATGATCAAAAGTATGTGTTTATGGGGGGAGAAGAATGGTTTTTGTTTGGGGCTTTGGGGGGTTGTTTTGTTTGGTGGGTTTTTTTAACTTCAGTTTGGCTTGCAGAGCCAACACAACTAAAAGAGAGAGAGTGAGAACTGAATACTATTCCATTTTGTGCTCCATGATCAACTGAAATGTGCTTATGCATACCCACTGAAGGCAATGGGAGTTTCATAGGTGTCACTAAAACAATAACCTGAAGACAAGGCAGCTGCAGAAGTGTCACTGTTAGTTCTGCAGAACTTTCTCACTGGTGATGATGCCCAAAATAGGAAGACCCCAGCCTGCACTCTTAGAGCACAAACTAAGATTACTTGTTTAATCACAAACTGATCACATATGGAATATGAAATTCACTGAAAGAAAATAAGTGTGCAACTCCACAATATCTTATTTGCTAGGATCACTTTTCAGAGTAGAATCTCACTTCAAAATTAATAGCTGTGGCATTAGAATAAAGAAAAGGAAATTCTCTTTTATACTGTGGCAAATCTGTGGAACTCATTACCGCTAAAGGGCAGTTGCTGTACTGACAAAAGGGCTGGATAATTTATGACCTTTAATAGCATATCAATAAAATAAAAGCAATCAAATCTCAGGATTGCTTTTTTTTCTTTTCTTTTTTTCTTCCTCTATCCTCTGTTGCATCACTTGTTAGCTCTGGCCAAAGGTGAAGTACTGAATTTGATTGATCTGTTCTGGTATAGCAAACCCTAAGCTCCTCTCCATAGGGAGCAAGTGCCAGATTTGTTTCCCTGAGAGATGTCTAAATTTCTCTCTAATATTCTAAATTATTTCTTCACGTGTATGTCCCATTCATGGTTTAGGTTGGAAATGCTGACTCCACCCCCCTTACTGAACAAGAGTAAGTTTGAATAGTTTCCAGAGTAATCTAGCATTTCTCACCCAGGAAAGGACAACCTCAGTTGAAAAATGGCATGGGGGAGAAATGGGATATTATCCAAGATCTGAAAGTAGGTAGAAAAGTCCCTTCCTCAGTTCAAAAGAAATCACTGAAACAACATATAGAGGGAGTGAAACTGATTTTTCTTAAAGAATATATATATGATATACCAAGTTATTTTTTAGCCTTGGTTGTTTTGTCTCTTCAAATAATGATCTCCCACAAGACCTTGTTATATTCATTACATAATCACTTTGCACTAATAATGGGAGAACTTTGCAAATGACTGAGCTTTTGACAGTTGAATGCAGTTAAATATATTAATGAAAGGCAATTTGACTGTTGCAAAAACTGTTTCACATCCTCTAGGAGGAAAGAGAAGTGGTGGCAGTGGTTTGAACATCAGATGTATTCAGCTCCAAAATCATTGGGAATTATGGGGTTCATAAATGATTGAAGTGCAAAGTGGAAAGGTTTTACTGTATATATAACATCTGATAGCTCATTTTGAGCCAAAACCAAATGACAGGTGCAACTTGAAAAGTGCAAACTTTGTAATTGGACTTTAAAGTAATATGTGTATTAAGGGTTTCTTTCTGAATGTGACCTTATATTTTGTGACAATTAAAAGCACACCAAACTACTTTGTTTTATCTGTTGTTCCCATTTCAGATGATCATTCTCGAGTGAGACTGCAGCCAATTGAAGGAGAAACAAACTCAGATTACATCAATGGAAATTATATTGACGTATGTATACTGATGTAGTAAACAAAGTTAACATCGCTGTTCAGCCAAACATGGTCCATGTTATCTTTACACTTTATTGACCATTTCTTATAGCTAGCATAGCTGATCACAGTTTTGGCTGCCAAACATTACTGGAAACCACAGTCATGGGAACCCACATATGCAATAAAGAAAAAATAAAACACCAAATATTTGCCAGTGAGAAAATGAGTTCAGTCATTTCTTGAAACTGCCACACTCTGGAGTGAAATTTTGCCACCAACATTACGTGGCTATTTTGCCTCCTGATGCTTATGTGGACCAAGGAAATGTTATTTACATTGTCTGTCAACAACTTGGCATAATTTCACATTTAAAAGAAAGCTGTTCGCATATTAATGTGACAAAACTCTGTAATTCCTAATGCAGTGATTTGCAATCTCCTGTCATTGCTACACTTTTAAGTTGCCTTCAAAGTATAGTCTGCAGCTGTTAACCAGTACTTCTAATGCAAGCAAGACATTTCATTAAATATGTAGGGTCTTTAATTATTGAAGACTGCTTCTTTGTTCATTCTGCATCATGTTAACTTAATGTTTTACATTAGAATAAATTCTTTAAGAGACAGCATGGTTTTTGGTTGAAAGGATCAAATCAAAAGTAGAATTGAAAATCAAGAAAAAGTCAACACTGTCTAAAGCCTGAAAACTAGAGATGGAAACTTCAGTAATTTTAATGTTCATTGGGAACACTAGACATGAGAGTACAGAACAACTGCTGATTCTTAGGCAGGCAGCAGCCTACATTCAGTGATTTCTTCTTCCCCAGTGACACCTTTTAATGAAGGTGTCACAGTCTCCGGTTCAGACGTGTCCACCAGGTCTGACAAGGGAATTTAGTAGATTTTTTTCTCATACAATATAGAGCAACCAAATTAATCCTTATTCTTATATAACATTCTTTGGGTTATCTCCTTCTAATGATAGTAATATGTTTCAAAGGCAGTCAGATTAGGGTTATATTTCTACCCCATTCTTTACAGTTTCAGAAACTTAACACATTAACCATGAGGTAAAGATAAAAACAGAAACATTTCCATTTAAAAGAGTAATAAAATTGTAGACAGAAATTTGTGTAATAAAAAGTAGAGCTGGACCCAAATTGAGGGGTTGGATTGGGATTTAAATTCAAACTTTTCCAAGGTTCAGGGTTGTTCAGACTTCAGGTTCGGGGTTTAGTTGCTTATGTATAATTCAAATTATGCTTTGGATCCAGATCTGAACATCCACAAAATGTGGTGGAGGAGGGTTTGGATCACGTGCTCTTGTTCAAGACCCTGATATAATGGCTTCATATCATGTCTTCCTGTGCCAGAAAAAAAAAAAAAGCAGAATGAATTTAGTGGGACAGCTGTGTGAGCACAGAAGACACTACTGGTGAGGGTTGTGGGCCTGAAGCTTCCCATTCCTTAGAAGATAGCTGTAGTACAAAGCATCTAAGTTTCTTTGGATCATCAGAAATCACTAGACAAAGTGATCATAAACAGGTAGACACTGTGGTTGTTTATTAGCAAGAAGGTATTCAAGATTCGGTTGTAAATGGCAATTTGTCTGTCCTTGGTTTCACAGATGCAGACGTGCAGCCTATCTCATGCAGGCAGATTGTAATAGATGTCATATCAGAACAATGGAGTTACAGTGGGAATGGCAGCTTCATAGGCATTGGCATGGAAAAGGCTGTTTGTATCGCGAGACATTCCCTTGAACTAAATCTCCCAGTGTCTGTTTTGTTGGTAGTCTGAATGAATCCAACCCCGCAGCTAGTAGATGATGCTCGGATAGAGAAATGCCAACTCTATCCACCGTCATACAAATAAGTCTCGATCCTTAGGCACTCAAAGTTTGCCTCAGAATGGCATATAAAGGAACCACTTCAGTAGTTCTTGTAACATTTTCTGTTCTCCAGGGTTCTTCAGATTACTTCAGTCTTGGTGCCTCACTTCACTCCTTACCCTTAACACACTCTGCACTGGCAAGTTGATATGGAGTATGAGCTATAACTTTATATTTCTTCCTTTTGTTAGTTGGTGTCATAACCTAACCATTATTTAAAGCTTTTGGTATTAATATTGATATGACTGTCTATAATGATGTACTGTTACATGAGTTAAATCCTTGGCAATAATCCTGTAGCATCAGAAACAAAAATACTATACAAATTCTGTTGTTTCTAGTTTGCATCCTATCAAGAGCCAATATTCTTTGTTATAAAGAATGCAAAAGTTGTTAGTGTTGATTGCTCAGCCAGCATGTGATTAAGTTTCTCTTGCCTTCACAGAAAGAAACCGAGAATTACTTTTCAGTGTAATTCCTATTTAGAGCTGGACAAACTGTTTACACCAAGACATTTCTTCATAGATTTTACCCTTTTTCTGTTCAGAAATAATTTGTGAGCAGACCAGAGGGCACAGAGAACCTCTTCCCTCCCTAGCACACACACGCAGCATCCATGCTGACTATAAATCTAGTGTTCTCTTAGCTGCTAAGCAGGGAACTAGCATTGCACTCAGCAGCACTTCACAGCTCGAGGGCTTGGGGATGTGTCCAGACTACCAAGTGCACCTAAGTTTATGTTGCTCCTTTTCAGAGAAGCCAGTAAGGAACTTCCAAAACATACTAAGTCAGTCCTCTACCCACGCACTGCGCAAGCCAATAGCTATGGGACCCTCCAGTCCAGACAACATAGCTGCTTCTTGTGCCCCCGCAATATGCCTTTCATTGGAAAGGCCAGAATTTGCTCCTAATATGTAACTTTTGTTGTTGTGATATTCAATAGGGTTATGAACACTAGTCTCTATGACATGACAATCATACCAGCACATGATGGTGCATTGCATTGCAAATTGACTCAAAACTTTTTTTCCATTTTTTTAGGGTTATCACAGGCCAAATCACTACATTGCTACTCAAGGTAAGCTAATCTCACTTTATATATTTCTTGCTGGTTGTGTGAACAAAAAACTACAAACATTCTTGTATGATGGTTTATACTCTGTAATACATATTTTTGCCACAATAAATACAAAATTACTCTATGAACCCAGATATGGCAAGCAGCTTTAATTCAAACTCTCCAAATTCCAAGAGCTTAGTGTTGAGTTGTCTTTACCTTTGGGTTCAGTAGTGCTGTGTAGAAAAAAAATAATATCTACCCTTACTTTTGGCTTATGTTACTCAGTAGGACTTGCTAAAGGACAAATAAGTAGTGAAAAAGATGACAGGCAAAAATTTCAAAAGTGCCGAAGTGACATAGGAACCTCCTATCGGAGTTAGGTGCCTAAATATCTTTTAGGATCAGGTCTCTATATCCTATTGAAAGTCAATGGAACTTAGGCTGCTAAATGAATTAGGTGCTTTGGAAAATTTTACCCAGCAGGTTTTAATACAGGACCTAAAAACGCACTAGACTTGCAACACTTTGAAAAGAAAATTGAATTTCTGAAAGTCAGATAAAAGAAAAGGAGAACTTGTGGCATCTTAGAGACTAACAAATTTATTTGAGCATAGGCTTTCGTGATCTACAGCCCATGTCATCAGATGCATTCAGTGGAAAATACAGTGGGGAGATTTTATATACACAGAGAACATGAAACAATGGGTGTTACCATACAGACTGTAACAAGAGTGATCAGAAAAGGTGAGCTATTACCAGCAGGAGAGTGCAGGGGGCGGGGACCTTTTGTAGTGATAATCAAGGTGGGTCATTTCCAGCAGTTGACAAGAAGGTGTGAGGAACAGTAGGGGGGGAAATAAGGGGAAATAGTTTTACTTTGTGTAATGACACATCCACTCCCAGTCTTTATTCAAGTCTAATTTAATGGTGTTCAGTTTGCAAATTAATTCCAATTCAGCAGTCTCTCATTGGAGTCTGTGTTTTTGTTGAAGAATTGCCACTTTTAGGGCTGTAATCGAGTGGCCAAAGAGATTGAAGTGTTCTCCGACTGGTTTTTGAATGTTATCATTCTTGATGTCTGATTTGTGTCCATTTATTCTTTTATGTAGAGACTGTCCAGTTTGGCCAATGTACATGGCAGAAGGGCATTGCTGGCCCATGATGGCATATATCACATTGGTAGATGTACAGGTGAACGAACCTCTGATAGTGTGGCTGATGTGATTAAGCCCTGTGATGGTGTCCCTTAATAGATATGTGGACACAATTGGCAACGGGCTTTGTTGCAAGGATAGGTTCCTGGGTTTTTGTTGTGTGGTGTGTGGTTGCTGGTGAGTATTTGCTTCAGGTTGGGGGGCTGTCTGTAAGCAAGGACTGGCCTGTCTCCCAAGATCTGTGAGAGTGATGGGTCGTCCTTCAGGATAGGTTGTATATCTTGGATGATGTGTTGGAGAGGTTTTAGTTGGGGGCTGAAGGTGACGGCTAGTGGCGTTCTGTTATTTTCTTTGTTGGGCCTGTCCTGTAGTAGGTAACTTCTGGGTACTCTTCTGGCTCTGTCAATCTGTTTCTTCACTTCAGCAGGCGGGTATCAGCAGGCGGGTATTGTAGATTGACAGAGCCAGAAGAGTACCCAGAAGTTACCTACTTCGTTGCTTGGGCTTCGGTTTCAGTCCAGGACAATGGGCTCGGGCTTTGGCTTCAGTCCTGGGCCTCAGTGAGTCTAATGCTGGGCCTGCTCTCTAGCTTATTTTGGCGGACTCCCTGAAACCTGCTCGCGGCCCCCCAGTGGATTCCGGACCTCTGGTTGAGAACCACTGTACTACAGTAGAGCTTCTTGTATTTTCCTATGGATTTGAAACAGTTTGAGTTACATCTGAGTACCACATTTATTTTAAGGTGTACATGCTCTTTTCAGAGCACCAGCTAGGACAAAAGGTTTCATTTCCCATGTATTGGATTTAGAAAGAAATGTGTACCTTTTTAATGACATACTGTTGAGACAGATGAAGATCATAGCCAGCCACCTCAAATAAGCGTGCTTCCTCTGACTGCTGCTGCCACTTGAGGAGCCCAATCTATGCAGCCTCCAGCCCCTAGCCCTTGGTCTTACCAAAGGGAGGCTCTTTCAACTCTTCCCCCCATCTCCCCACCCCCAAACCCACTATTGCTAGTTCCAAATGTTCTGCTCCTTCATTGCAGTCTCCAGGGTGTGAAATCATTGGGACAGGGTACATCAACTTGACTCCACCCAGAAAAGTGTGATCGCCACTGGCCTTAACATCTTAGGGAACCAGGGGAGGCCATTTAAACTTGCCACTGCGGCCACCCAACCACAGTGACCTACAGCCCCTAACCTCCCTACTGGTGGACTGGGGAAGAGAAACAAGGGTATTTTCTGGTGTTGGTTGTTAAGGCTAGTTTTTTATACCGCTCTGCAGGAGAGTTCTGTTTGTCCTTTAATTTATGTTACTGTTAGTTATTGTCTCCTAAAAATGGAAACAGCAGCAACTATGGTTGGCATTTTATTTGCAGTCCAGAGTATAGTTGTTTTCAGCAAGGGAGCAACTGGAAGGCCTTCCTGGGAGTTCATTACAAACCATTCTGATACTGAGTCACTCTCTGAAGCAATTTTAAATGCTGTTTTAACTGTCACTGCAGTACTTGAATAACAAGTACTAAACTTGAGACCTTTACTCAATGGGCTTTCAAAGCAGAGAATCAGACACAAGAATGTGAAAAAAACTAAACAATTTATTAAAGAAAATTATGGTAACTTGAATGTGGACTGGCTATAAGTGCCCTTCCACACCCAAATCCCACCCAATAAGGTGGTAAAGAAAAATAGTTAGAGAGTGAGGAGAAAGAACAAAGACAGTGAAAACAAGTCTTTCAAAATTTAAAGAAGAAATGACTATTTAGGGTGCAATCTCTTTAGGGCAGGAACTGTCTTTTTGCTTTGTAATTGTGCAGTGCCTAGCACACTGGGGTCCTGGTCCGTGATTGGGGCTCACAGGCACTGCTGTAATACAAATAAATAAAAGTAATGTAAAAAAAATCTTACCAAGGAAAAAAAGAATAGAGACCAACTTGATACAAATTGGTTTTGCGTTTGGATCCGTTGGGTTTTTTGTTTTTTTTTTATGGACGAGATCCTCTAAAATCTGTTTCTCACATGAATTTGGACCAGTTTTCCAGCATCCTAACTTCAAGCCAAAACCTCAAATCGCTAGTGTGATATTTTCTCTTCTTAAAATAATTCAACGGAAGGTGTGGTCTTGATTTTTAACAGTGTTGGCAAACATGCTGAAACCCATCTTTTACACTGGATTAATTACAATCCTTAAAAGAAATCATATAGAGGGGAAAAGGCATTTGCTCCATATGTTAAATTTTCTGTTTCTCTTTGTCATTTTCAGTTGTAAACCTGAAACTGAGCTTAGCTCTCAGACATAGCCAGAGGTGTTTATATTCTGTCTTGGAACAGTTTTTCTTATAGAAAAGTACAAACACGTGGATGTGATACCACATTTTGAACTGCATGTTTAATTCCGCAAAGATACTTCACAGCAATTTTAGCAATCCAACCTCCCTCTACACTACATTATGTTTTACAGGAAGATATCATTAAAGAAGCCAGTTCCATGTGGAGTTAGTATGATTGATATTTAATTGTCCTAGTATTTTTCTTCAGCTGCATTAAACATATCAAGTGTTAATGAGCAAATATAATTGTATGCAGCTAAAAAGTGGAAAATGTAATCAGTTCATAATAGGCTACCAATCTGGTTTTAACAGAGTTGGGAGTTCCATAATCACCTGTTTATTAGAGTATTACCATCTTCCAAGAGACAATGTGGGTGAGGTAATATCTTTTATTGGACCAACTTCTGTTGGTGAGAGGGACAAGCTTTTGAGCTACACAGAGCTCTTCTTCAGGTCTGGGAAAGGTACTCGGTATCACAGCTAAATACAAGGTAGAACAGATAGTTTAGCATAAGTAGTTAGCACATATTCTAAGGGACCATTCAAGGAGAAAAAAGAAAAGGAGGACTTGTGGCACCTTAGAAACTAACCAATTTATTTGCGCATAAGCTTTCGTGAGCTACAGCTCACTTCATCGGATGAAGTGAGCTGTAGCTCACAAAAGCTTATGCGCAAATAAATTGGTTAGTCTCTAAGGTGCCACAAGTCCTCCTTTTCTTTTTGCGAATACAGACTAACACGGCTGCTACTCCGAAACCTGTCATCATTCAAGGAGAAGTGGCCCATTAACACCCCTGTAGACCATCTTCCATGTGAACCAGAGTTTGGTTTACAGACCCTTATCTTCCAGCCTGGAAATGCATATACCAGTGCTGCTATTCAGTTGATTAGGAGGCAGATGCATTTTTGTAAGAGCTAGCAAATGGAGTGTGTTTTAGTTAATATCCAATCAAGGGAAATTCTTACTGCACTTCAAGTGAAATAAATTCAAAACCTGCAATTTGGATTAGAAAATCAGCATCTCTCTCTCTCTCTCTCTCTCTCTCTCTCTCTCTCTCTCTTTTTTTTTTTTTTCTTAATGCCATAAGCATAGTGGGACTGATGGGCTGAAATTGCCATTAATGAAGACATTTTGTGGTCTGCGTAGTTGGCCCCGACAGTTAAAATGCGCACTTGGGTCACCTGGATAATAAAGAATCCTTTGTCACAACTCAACACAGTGGGTCATGTAGGGCTAACAAGCAGGTGCAATGTACAAATCACCGCTTGCTTTTTTCCCTCCCTTTTTTTTTTTAACGTGGATTTAATTCTGTAAACTGTACAATTTACTGGAATCTAGCTCTGTTTGCAGGAGAGAGATATTCAAAGAATTTCACAAAATTCTTTTAATAGGAGCATAAAGCATTAATTTTTATACAGTATTTGGTCACTCCCATTCTCCTCAGTTTTCATACTGCCAATGGACCATATATGACCCCGATATGCAGGAAAAAAATTACTATTGATTCCTTCTATTTTGTATTTAATTATTTTCT